AACTCTGCAAATAAATCATTATTTAGAAAGGTTTCAAGATCATCTTTCTTTAAATCACATTTTTTAAGTGGTGATTGAACACATAAATTAATATAATTTTCGGTCATACAAGTTAAAGATGAATCTGTAAATTAAAGTAAATAAATATCAAAATATTTAAAATGATGTATAATAAAGATTACTTACCACTTTCTAAATCAAATTGTAATGGTGAAATATACCAATTATCTAAAAAGTTTCGTACACATTGATCTTTTAGTAATTCTTTAAAATTAAATTGAGTTGTATTATTATATCTTGAATCAACTCCACCATCCAATAAGTATCAAAGAGTTTGTAATAAATTGTGATAATGGAAAAAGTCGAATTCAATGTTTTTTTTGTTAGAATGCGGGATTACAGACTTAAAAATACGGTGTACCATTTCTTTAGTAGCTACTGCCATATTTACAAGAGGTCCAAAATTTTGAATGTGTATATTAAAGTGACGAATTATGTGAAAATTAGGAAGTCGTGAAATGGAAGGAAAAATCTAATACCATAAGATTGCTTGTGATAATGTACAAAACTATGATTTGCAAAGGTAATGACAAAAAAAATCATACCTTTAAGATTAAATCCGCCCATTGAATGATAAGATCATTTAAATTCTTAATTTCTGCTTTAGAATATGTTTTTTTAAACACTAAAGCAATTAGTTTAGCAAATAAAATCCAGAGATAACATAACTTATCAACCATCTGGTTTCTTCGCAAATTGTATGATATTGAAATATGGTTAACAAAATTATCTTTTAATAAATTAACATTGATTGCACGGTTAATTAAAAATGGCATTATCATTGTTAAATGAAGGTAATCTGAGAAAAAATAAGAATTGAGATGAGTTATAGGACTTTGTTGACGTGACCATGTACTTGGAAATTCAAAACATTTCCAAATAGTTAAAAATAACTCTTCTCCTTTAGTCATTAAAATTGAGAATGTTTCTTGTAATATATTACTGGCTAAGCCTCCCATACAGTGGAATACGTCATGAGGGCATTGTAAATGTCGATCACAAGTCACATTATCAAAAATTGAAGGTTTATTTCGAATTCCATATTGTTGTGATAGGAATTCTCTTTCACCATGAGTTTGAGCATTATCCAACTCAACAAATTGTAAAGAAGTCTTGTGATGGTAACGTCTTCCCATTGCAAGATCAAAAGACATATTATTTAATTCATCATGATGGATAATACAAATACGACAGCCATGGTTAGCATTATGATTCTTAATTCTAGCTTGTTCATTTCCTTCAGGTAAGTCTGATGTAATATTTCCCAATCCACCAGTTATCCAAATACGCTTATTATCTAAATCCATTTCAAATCCATTTTCAAGTTCTTTTATATCTTCAATTATAGGTTTCAAAACATCATTACAATTTGCACCAAAAGGAATAAATCCTAAAAGAAAATGATTTTTAAGTTTCTGACGAATAACTTGTGTCATATTTCCAATTTGTAAATAGATTCCTCCTATTGCATGATATGCATTACAAAATGGTCCAAATTTATCAATATAAATATCAAGAAAAAATTTAAAAACAGGTAACTCATCTGAAATTTTTCGTATTGGAGTATATTCAATTGAATGTTTGTGATGAAGATCAACTGATCGTGTATTCCATTTATTATTACTCTTATAGACAGGGTTGTGGTAGTACAACTGTACTAGCAAAATTCTAGTACGTACTGTACTAGCAAAAATTTCGTACAAGTACTAAGTACACTGTACTAATACAATTATTACTTTTTAGGATATAATTTAACCATTTTAGGTAGATATCATGTGATCAATATTGTTTATATTTATAAAATTAACCAATAAAATTTATTAATAGTATGTACTAAAATTGTATTTGTACTAAATTTTCAAGTACAAGTACAGTACTTAGTACTGTACTATACTGTACTAGTACTGTACTAGTACAATTCCCAACCCTGCTTATAGACAATTTCATTAATACAATAATCATAATTGTCAGGTTTTTTCGTATCCATAAGCCATACATTGATTTTAGATTCAATCCAATTGAGTTCAATCATTTCATTCTCATAAGTCATCCAAAGTTTTTGTGTATTATTAATTTGATTTTTTCTTTGACGAGATTTCAGAAGATTTGGTAATGAATTAAAATCAAGTATTCTTTCTGCTTTTATTAAAAAACATTTAGTTTTGTCATAAATAACAAAACCAATAATTCATTCATAGTTAATAGAAGTATTGGAGTTTCTATCATAATATGTAATAAAGTCTCCAAGGTTATACATAACTATAAAATAGATTTATAAATAAATAAAATAAGTTTTAGACAATTATAATGTTGTAATAATCAAAGTATATTTACCATTATTTATATAGATGTATGTAGTGCCAAATAATGGTGATTTATGCCAAATATCACCATGCCATAGTTCTTGTCTAATTTTGGAATAAATACCTGAACCAAAATACATTTGATCACGTAATGATGGATTTAGCATTATACGTTGTAAAATTCTTTTTAATTGAAATACAAATGCTTGACGAGTTGGTTTTGATGTTGAAGGAGTATCACGATCATTAAGTTCAATATCATAACCATTAAATGAAATTAATGGTAAACTATCCCGGTATTTTTTAATTGTAATAATAGAGTATGGAACATCACTGATATTAAAATCTGGATGTTTGATAATATTTGAAAAATCCCGATATGCCTCGCAACCTAGTATTTATTAAAATAAAGTTATATTATTGTAAATCTTATCTAAATTTGTTTTAAATATACAAATATACTATACCTATTTGGTGTTTTGTAATCCACATAAATAATAAAAAATGTGTAAAATTAGAAAAATAAGGTCCTGCCTTTCCAGAAAAATTGTGTATTTTATTACTATTGTCATATTGTTTAGTTTTACTATCTACTGTTTGATCTTCATATTCATTTTCTTTATTCACAAAATTACTATCATTATATTCCATTTCATCGTCAGATAACAAATTTGAAATATCAATTTGCCAGTTATCATTTGGTATCAAATTTTGCATTAAAGAATCTAAATTACTATTACTATTTAAATTTTCTGTTGATAAAATTGATAGTGTATCACTATTAACAATTTGTTCCTCTTCATTAGCAGAAATTTCCTTCTCATTTTCACTCTCACTTTTATTTATGTTATTGTTTTCTTTTACTTGTTCAACATGTTTTTGTTTTGTTTACGTAGACAAAATGAAATATTCTGATTAGTGCTCCGAAAAAAATCTGATTTGATCAGATTTGATCTGAATCCGATCTGTCAGATTCAGATCAGATTAGATAAATTTAATCTGCAGTTCAGATTCAGATCAAAAAAATTTGATCTGAATAAATCAGATTAATTTCAGATCAGATCAGATCAGATCAGATCAGATTCAGATTAGACTTATTTAAAATCTGAATCTGATCAGATTGGATATGACAGATTTGATTCAGATCTCAGATTTGATTTTACTAATAATTTCAGCCGAATTCATAATGCCGGCTGGAATTAATTCATAATTTTAAACTCCAGCCAAAACTGATATGTCGATCATTTCCTTTTTTGGCGATAGCCGTTCCACAAAAATCGATTTTTATAGGAACAAATTTGGCATTTTGTGTAACCTAAATTTCCTTTTTTGGAAATTAAATAATTCCTGCCAGAGTTAAGTGCATAATTCTGGCCGAATTACATATTTAATTTTGGCATTTTGGCTGAAATTTCAGAATTTTGAATTTGACTGGAATTACAAATTATAACTTTAGAATTTATAACATATTTATTTAGATTCAGACCAGATTCAGATCAGATTCAGATCAGATTCAGATCAGATCAGATTTAATCAGATTCGAATCAGATCAGATCAGATTCGAATCTGATTAAATCTGATCTGATTCAGATTAAATTTAAACCGATCTGATTCAGATCAGATCAGATCAGATCAGATTTAATTAATTTCAGATCAGATTGAATCTAAGTAAAATCTGGTCTGATCTGATCTGTTAGGAGCACTAATTCTGATTCTGTTATCGCTGACTTAAGCCTGCTTTGCGTTTTCTAAGAAACATTTGATAACTTTAGATTTTAAAAATGGATAATTATTATTTTTTGATGTAAATTTTTTTTTATATTTTTTAAAAGTTTCTTTTTTTTAAAAAAAAAAGTTTATATAAAATCTATTTCCAAGTTTATTTTATTAATTGATTATAATTATTAATAATCAATTTGAGACTATACTATAATAATTATAGTCAATTCAAAATTACCTAATTATTACATACTTTTTATACTTTACTAAAAATGGCCAATTTTTTGACATGATTTTGTAATAATTTTGAAATACTACAAAAATACATTTAATACATCAAAATGGTTTTATTGTATTTTTGTTATTATTTTGTAATTATATTGTATCTAGGTCTATAAAAATAACTCATAATAATATCACAATAATTTTTTAATGTTTTTGTTATTATTTTATTATTATAATATAATTAACTTTGATATTATTTTAATATTTTAATCTCAAAAATACCTCAAATATATCTT